CAGAGACCGACTAGAAAACGCCTGCGGGGGAAAACGGCTATCATATTCGGCATTAGCATGGTCGATTACCTATTGTCCACTAGGTTTCAAGCCAAAAGCGATGGGGCAGTTGGTGGCCTTCCCTCGTTAGTGTTGATACTGGGAAAATTAATATTTTTCATTATAGTGCAGTTTGAGTCCTTAAAGTAATTTTTTGAAACTTATGCACGCATTTCAAAAACAACGAAGCATTTTGAAGAAAACTTTTCGTTGACAAAGTTGTTCAGGATAATGCTCTTCATACCCTAAGCGGAGCACTTTTTTCATTTTAATAGAAAAATTTTGAAACAAATTACAAATAAAAAATTTTTAGCTTCATTGGAACTTTATTGATAAAACTTTCAAAAAATGTTTAACTAGCAGTCGTTATTCATTTCCCAAAATTTCAGCCTCATAATCCTGTATAAGTTAATTTTACTTCATAAAATAATTAGAGAAGAGGCGTCGACGTGTTTGACTTCATTATTACGCAGCATACCAGCGTATCTGTCACCTCTATAGCTGAACTATAATTCCTCGTTTCTTGCTGATACAGTGTAAGATTGCCATTTAGGGTGATTTCTCTGGTGTAACTAAGCAACAAAAGAGAACTATACTTACTTAAAGTTCACTTAGAAAACCAAGCGACGCCTACTTATATACTCTAAAAAAGCTTCCGATCATCAAGAATCATGCTAGACCCTGTCTTTCCTTCGAAAAATTGCGCTAGTTCAATGAGAATAACCGCTATTCACTTAGCGCCAACCATAACTAATTATCTTTGCAACCGTTATATGTATAAAGATGAAACTTTCACCAAATGTGTGACTAATATTCGTACTTCATTTCCGAAAATTTCAGTCCGATCCGTCTGACTGAAAAAAAGTCGTTTTTTCAACCTTTCTCATATGCATTAGTCTTAGAAATTATCAAACATATTTTTTTCTTTGATTTTCAATATATGTAATGCATTCATTAATGTTTGTAAATGATTTACATTTATAAGCACGAAGAGACTTATCAATGATATCCATATTTGATGGTATATCATCTCATCGAACATTTAAACTAAATTATCAATCAATGCTAAAATACACTATAGACAGTATCGACATTGTTTTATTAAATACAACTCAATCACTCAATAGGTTTTTTATTTGAATACGAATGTGTCTAGGCTGTTACAAAAAAGGGAAACTTAAATGAATGTAACTCCTATGACAACTACGGATATCATTGGTAACGGTCGAAGAAGTAACAGAAACTTTCACAGTCCTAGTGATAACTATGATTCTAAATCGAGCACCAGTCTTCTTTGGCTTTTATCAATTCAATCTTTACAATATTTATCACTGTCAACATAAAAAATTTCATTCTACAACTATGACTCTTCTGTGACATCTTCCATGCTGTCACCATCCAATGGGTCGCGTACATACTTAACCGCACATTTTTCTTGCCGATACCGGTCGACCCTTTTAGTCAATTTCGCTGCCCATTGTTCGCACAAATCTTTTTTCAGACGATATTCGGCCAGTTTTTCTTGTATATATTCGGCAATGTCAGTGGTCATTTTCTTCAACAAATCTTTCTCATGATGGTACATACCACCTTTTAACACGCATTCTTGTTCCGAGGCCCAGTCAATTAGATATTCCATGTTTAAACAGAAAATGTAGACGAACGGCGTCAAGGATGGCGGTGTGATTCGAACAATATCCGGAACGATTTCTTTAGCATATTTGCCTTGAATAATACAAAAGAGTTGTCGATTTTTCAATTTCGGCAAACATCGGCGACAACTTTCGACAGAATCCAACGTCAGCAAAATATTGGTATTATCGCGAAATTCACTTTTCAGAGATTGACAATTGTCGTCACGACAGATATGATCATCGAGCCAGAGTACTACTAAGTTGCTTCCAGAAAAACTTTCACTGGCATCCATACGCAGTCTCTAAAAGATTAAAGCAGATCAGTCGAATTCATATAACTAACAGAATGACGCAGTTTTTGAATGTAATGGCGACGAAAGAATTAAAAAACAAAATATGAATTGTTGACAGCCATGATCAGATAACATTCAAATGTGGTCGAGAATATTATTGACAGGAGAAAAATTTTCTTCCTCGTTTATTAGAAAATATTAACACTGCTATGAAAATCATAATAAAATTCTTCTGAACTTATTATTTAAACACTCGAGCTTTCGATCACAACTTAGATCATTTTCAAGAGTGAATGACAAAAGGAAAAGAAGCAGTATATATACAAAAATACATGCAGAGCGAAAGAAGAATTTTGGAAAAATCTAAA